CCAATCACAGGCACTGAGACATATCCCGATCTCTGCAGCTGCGGACTGGGATAATGTCTCAGTACCTGTCATTGGCGCTGCGGCGCTGTCAGCTTCCTGGCGGGCTCGGCACGTGGAGCTGCGAACACGCCCGAGCCCATCACCAGTCCTCACATCACCCGACCATTCACACTAGTGTTACATGGATGCCAAAAGTGGCAGCCAGGGGCGGAGGTAAGGCGGGGAAAAGGCAGAGCTGGAGGGTGGGCTAAGTTGCTGCACCGTGGGCCTCTGGGTTGTACTTGCCCCCTGGGCTAAAAGTTGCTAGTCAGCCCCTGCTGTATTCCACAACTGCTGGACGCCGAGAGCTGATTAAATTGCGGATGGCATCGGCGCCCGGCCGTTGCGGTATGGAGGATTGTGGGCGGCGTTGGACTACATGTCACAACCGCGGGGTGCCAATGCCATCCGCAATTAAATCAGCTCATCGGTGCCCAGCGGTTGCAACATGCAATGAAAATTATTAGTGCCCCCCCAGATTTGACTGTTGTATCTTATGTGCCCCCCCTACATATTGTTCCTAGAGTCGCACTGCTCTGTTGTAACCCTTCACCATCCATATCCTGCACATTAACCCCCTGACCTGTATGTTGACTCCTCCTGCCTCTCTGCATGTCTTGTACATTAATGTACATCCAAAAAAAGTGGCAAAATATAAGATAGATTGGGGTGCATTATTTCCTAAAAAGGGAAACTGTTGGGGGAGTTTGTACTGTCCTGGCATTTTTATTTGATACGTTTTATTATTTGTATTTGTTTATTATAAATATTTTAATAGCGTATCAGAGGGCTAGAACCTCTCTCAGGTTCCCACAGATTTACAGCTATAAAAACAATAGTACTAACCCTTTACCACTCTACTAAACAAAAATCCTAAATCTCTATTAAATTCAAAAGGTTTTTAGACTATGTTAAATGCTGATTGAATCACTTCTTGATGTTTAAAAGTGTTTGTTTCCTGCAAAATCAGCTAGTTCTCTGAGCACTGGCCTTGATATCCTGTTTTAGGGTGGCTCCTTTCCCTTGCAGGGTCCTATGGATCCTCTCTTATGTATGCTAGTAGGCTGTGTATGTTTCCACAAACACACAGACACAGCAATGCAAGCCACTAGTCTGCTACCTGCTTCCCACGCCTTCAAGCTAATAGATAAACAGCTGATGGAGTCTGTGTTATTCCTTGCCTATTACTAGACAGGAAGTTCAGGGAAGTGAAGCAGGGTTGAAACCAGCTGTTCAGAAACACGATTTATTACTGAAAAAAGAGAGAGGTTAATAGTACTTTAACTTCCTGTCCCAGTGACTGCATAGGAAACAAGGGTGTACAAGGGTGAACAGTGAGGACACAGTCACTTTTAAATACTGAGTATTCATGGCTCTTTCCAAAACTAAACAAAACATTTTTAGTTGCAGTTGGGCTTTAAAGAACAATTCCTTTAAAAAAAACAATGTTTGATAGATTCTAATGGAAAAGCCACCACATCCCAAAATATAAAATTGCAGCAGAGTGGCAAATTTTAACTGAGCAGCTAATGAGATTCTCCAGAAAGAGTGTGCTTTTAATTTAACATGAAAAACCTTTTTAAGGATTTATATAGTTAGACCTGCTAACACACAGAGCATTCATGGTTTGCCAACCATGTTCACATTTATAAACTCTGATCAGGAGGCAGCGTTTTTAAAGAAGAGCTTTTTTTTTTCCTTTCAAGAAAATCATCAGGGTTTTCAGTGAAGGTTAAGCTAGGACAGTGTCTTGTGCAATAACTCACACAAGTAACGCTTGGCAGCCATGCATTGGAAAGGAGCCCTAGACAATGTACAAGTGCATAAGTGACCAGCATTGCAATCAAATACTACAGAAATGCCCTGGAATAAGAAAAAGGCTGATTTCAGTAAAATATATTGATTGGTACTGGTAGTTCGCAAAGTATTTTGGTTTGTCATATATGGACTTTCTTTAACATCACTGCATAAGCAATGATGTTCACTATGTAATAACATAAAACCTAGTATACTCATCGGATTATTGAAAAAGCAGGTTTATCTAAGAAAGAATTCTACTAAGCAAAATTTGCATGTAAAATAGCATGATATTATTTTTCCCTAAAAACATTGCTTTTTTTATAAGGTCCATTTGACTCAAACAAGCAACAAGTATGCAGGCAATAAAAAAGATACTTGTTCATAATTATTCCTTCTCATGATTTTATCATAGCTGAGTAGCTCTGAACCAGAAATAGAAATCTCTGCTCCCATGAACTGTTATGAGTTTGCCTATCTGTGCCTTATGTGTCAGTTGTGAATATCCGATTCTGGGGGTGGGCTGATGCCTAGCAAGGCTTTTGATTTCTAGTGAATAGTCATCTTAAAGATAAACCATTTTTTTTTAGTCTTTTATACAGTGGGGAACAATACAAACTTCTTTCAGGTCAGATTTGCTGTCTTGGTCCCAGGTGGGATCATTTTTGCTTCATTTCAATCCCAATTATTCCATAGAAATTAAGAGGAATGTGTTAAAAAATGTAGCAATAAAAAACTAAACAATAGATTAAGGAAACTTACTGTAAATTCTGGTTATTAGCCTGTTGCTTAAAAATACTCTTTCACTTTAAGAATGCTAACAGTTATGAAGTGCAGACATCCAGGGGATGGGGGGTGTCTAAATATGCCAGCAGGGTTCACTATCCTCTGTTTCACCCGTATTCTGGGCCATGTTGATTACAAAAAGCTTTAGCACTTCCTCACATGATATCAGCTTAGCTGCCCCTTTCACCTCTCACATATTCCACTTGGCCAGTAAGGGAGCATCATATTGATGGATTATGTGGGGGTGGAGCTTAGCTGTGAGCCCTGACACAACCTAGAAGTGTTGGAGTTTTTCTCAATCAGAGCAGCCAGACATTCAGACAAAGCAGACAAAACTGAATCCTGCTGCAAGTATGTGTAGGCATCTAGAGGTACCTGCACATTAGACCTATCATCAGCTTACAGTGTTAAAATTACTTTAAGTCTCTGTAACAACCCTCATAACAGAAAAGCCCATGTGCGTGGCTTTTGCTTTGGAAGCAAAGATTGTTCTTTCTTATCAATTGTGGTTGGATTAGAAGTAAGGTTTGGAAAAGGAACAATTTACAACTTTGGTTAGAGATAGATTTAAGGCTTAGCTTTTTGTTTTCCCTACTTTATTTATTTTGTACTGACAAATGTCGCTACAATGTACTTGAATATCAATCATGAAGAATATGAATGTTATCAACACAATGCCTAATATATTGAAAAACATCTGGCCATAAACAGGAATCCACGCTAGATGCTTTCATGATTGAAATCAAACTAAACATACTAATAATTTAAAACAATAACATACATAGATATTTCATATTATGGCCAATGCAGAACTAGAGGGGTTGCATGGGTGATAGTGTTATATTAGGCTTCAGAAGTACATCAGGACCTGCAATAAACCTCTATTTATTTTCGTAATGCCGTTCAGATATTTTGCTGTTTTTCTCATGTGTGTTAATGATGTCTGGAGGCTCTCTGTCTGTGATATTAATTATGTAATTACATAGAAGGCACAATGACATCATCACATCATCATTAATTATGTAATTGTTGCACCGGGACCCAGGATGTTGGAGGTATATTTCTTTAACACAAAGACTAGGCTTTTTTCTTTATATGAAATATAAGAAAATATTATGTAAATATTCCACATAAGCAGTGTTACCTTTAAAAAAGTATCCAAAGAGCCGTTTTCCATGTACTCTGTGACAATCATCACTGGTTTGCCTGTGGGAAACAAAATCATGTTTTAACCCCTTCATGACTGAGCTAGTTTTCAGGTTCT